AGGGGGGGAAGGGAGGGGAAACTAGGGGGGAACGGGGGGAGTGTTTTTTTACCGTACCACTAATTAATGCGTAAAATCGCCACCACACCATAGACGGTATTTGGGGTTCTTGTATATATAAGATAGCCGAGTCGGTGTACAGTTAGTGTTGTGTGTGGGCCAGTACTGTTTGTACTTGTGTGTTGTCTGCAGTGCATGCGTGGCACGGTAAAAATATACGCGCTGGTTTTCCTGGCCGAATTGGAATTCTTGACGATCGATTCCCGCGCTGGCAAACTTTTATTGTGGTGGAATTTAAACGGGGCGGAGGTAATTCAAACGGGGCGCAACGATTCAAACGGGGGGGGGAGTTTTTCCAAACGGGGCGGGCGCGCCCCGTTTGCGCAACGTGGGGAGAACCCTGAATACATATATATATAACATATATTATTGACCTAAATACAGTTACAACACAAGCTGTTGAACTATAGCCCATATTTCTATCCAGTTATATTTACAGGTTATACATTGTGCACCCTGTTCGATCACACTCACAATCTGCATGATCACATTCACTAACCTGGAATCTGTCGCACAACATATATGATGATTTCTACAAATGATAGGAGATTGATCCGATGCTCGAAGTCTGCTAGGAAGTTTTCATACAGCTTCATGAGATCTGTCTTTGCTGTGAATTCGGTATTTTTCACAAATGCCATAACTTTCACTGTTAACTGATGCCATAATCTGAAATTAAAACAAATTTATGTCTTTTTTCTTTCAGATCACAACAGATGGTTGTAGATTATTCACTAGCAGTATAATATATGACTTAATCGTACAATGTTTTGTAACTCACTAACTGCATGACATTGAAATTGAGCGACCGCCAAGATTGTCACTCAGCACTCTGGTAGTGATGTCTGATAGTGATACTGATGACAGTGACGTCTTATGTCTGATAATAATATGATTATCATACCTTCGTCATGTTTCGTAAACCATTACTCGTCAAACACATGAACTGAATTACAATGTCATCCGTCCCAACAAAGAATGCTATAGATACTCGCTTTATCCCTGGACAATACCAACATGGATTGCCCTACCACCTACTACCAAGACTGCTCCTGATGTGGCTTCATTTAAAAACTTAATTAACAACAACAGCGGTAAAGAAAACGTGAAGAAAATTTATACGCTGTGGCTATATGCCCGGCAGCCGGGCACGGTCTTCGTTTTCCTAAATGCCCGGCAGTTCTTAACCCTAACTCTAACCCTAACCCTAAACCTAACAAAAACCCTAACTCTAGCCCTAAACCTAACCCTAACTCTAGCCCTAAACCTAACCCTAACCCTAACTCTAACCCTAACCCTTGTTTACTTGAGATAACGCTAAAAATTAAAAACTGCCGGGCATTTAGGAAATCGAAGACCGTGCCCGGCAGCCGTCAGATATACGCCGGCTGCCGGGCATATAGCCACTGTGAAATTTATAACATCAAAGCGATCCATATTGACATATACGTCTATAGCCACACCAGGCGATTAGTACAGTACCAAACTGTCGTCACGATCACGATGTATGACCCATGAATAGTATTCAAATCCCATAAATAAGACAATGATGACTCAGCATAGACACTGAATACACTATCACTATCAGTATCACTTCTACACGGACTCAGTCGAGGACGAGAGAAGAGGCTTTCGTGCTTACTTCTTATTGTACAGTTCTTCAAGCTTTGACCACTCAGCTGCTAGCTCACCACACGAAGTCCTCTGTTGCTCAGCTAAATAACCGGTGACGTCTCTCATTCTGAATTTTACAGAAAATCATATATTTGACAAAACTGCTAATCGTGCCGGTGTTTTGTTGAAATTCGTCGTTCACTTCTTCACGCTACTGTGGCGCCGTTGCTAATGCGCATGCGCAACTCACTGCGCCATCGACGCCAACATTTCTACCTTGTCTTTTGTTTTGGAAAGTGACTAAGACAAATCCAGGTAATCCAGTCATTTAAGCTATTTAAGCTATAGTAAACTTTTCACGTCCCGCGATATAATGCGTCGGTGATATCTTTATTTAATGTTGTAACTGTTTTGATTAATTCACTGACAAAGGGGTGATTGTTTAATGAAATCACTTCGAATGTGTTTTTTGTGTTCTGTATTTCGTCCTTAGGCTAGTCGACTCATGGTAGCCCTGCTACAATCTAGTTTAGTAGTCGGATATCTCATTACCACGCTAACGTAAGAAATAGTTATGTTTTAGGATGTGTTAGTTACTATTACTAATTAGTGTTGCCTTTGAATTTGTAGAAACACGTTACCGTTACTGTTGTTAGGTCGTTGCTGTTGTTTGTCAGACTCGCAGCTAGGGCCTGCATACCTCCCAACTCTCATTGGTTGATACAAATATAGTTAATTTTTAAAATTAAATTCTAAGTAGTGTTAGGGTTAGGATTAGGGTTAGGGTTAGGGTTAGGGTTAGGGTCACAATGCACCATAAAAGGAATTATTAAAACAGGAGTTTCAGGCACGTGATTTGTATCAACCAATGAGAGTTGGGAGGTATGCAGGCCCTAGCTGCGAGTGTTTGTCAGCGACACATGACATGGGCCGGTCTGATCAGCCTTGAGGCTTGGGAACATAAGCCCAGCAATTTATGCAGGCAAAACATGAAAGAAACAATCAAACGTTCTGTGGTTGAACGAATAACGTACTGCAGTTAGGATTTACAGCGGTAGCATAATATTTTATCTTCCCAGTTTTGTGGTGTGTTAGAAATTGGACGTGGATATTCGTCCGAGCATCTGACACCTGTTCGTATGCGCTATTCGTCAGAGCAGTTGTTGCGCATGCGCTGTTTATGTTGTATTACATAAATGTAATATAATGCTAGTCTAGGGAGTCGCCTACTCTCTAATCCCAACACCACAACCACAAACCTAACCCTAACACTAACTATAAACCGACTCGGATCTCTTATATACTTGAGTCATAGTACCAAACACTATCTATGGTGTATAACCACATACGCACGTATGTTCACAGCCATAGGGCTGCCGTAGCAAAATGCTCATAGCAATTTAGCAGACTAGATTTCAAAAATTTTTGGGTGGTGGCCCCCCCAGACTCCCCCTTCACACTTCGTACCTCCGGCACTCGTGCCGTACGCCTGCGGCATACAACATCAACAGCGCATGCGCAACAACTGCTCGGACGAATAGCGCATACGAACAGGTGTCCGATGCTCGGACGAATATCCACGTCGTTAGAAATTATATCATAAGGCCCCATAAAAAAAGATGTTAGTTTATCATCCCCGCCCGCATCACTTTTTCCGCCCGCATTTTTTAATTCAGATTACCGGTGTTGTATTCACACACCGGTTTCAAGCCAATTCATTCGTTAGAGTGTTAGTCCTTCTTGACATTAACAATTATAAATATTACCTTACTTTTATATAGCTTACCTACTTCTTTATACCTGTGTCTCTTTTAAAAAGTACCCTGCGGCATTTTGCGCTACGTAATTATTGCTTGTCTTGATTGTTTTTGTGCCCACGGGGCCCACTTGTACTCTTTCTTTACTATTCTATTGTTAATTCCATGTTTGTGTTTGTGTTCGGAAAAAAAAAAAAAAAAACCCCGCCTCCCTCATCACTTTCTTTAGATGACAAGGATGATAAACTAACATTTTTTTTTATGGGGCCTAATACATGTTGAGCTGTGTTGTTACACTATCAACTTTTAGTTAAAAAGACGACGACTTGGACAACTTTTCAACGTTCTAGCAACCTTTCTATGGTGTTAAATTCAAAGCATTTACATTATCGACCATGAGTCGTCAAACATTTCAACGTTTCGCCCCGCAATGTGAGTGTGTGGCGATGTTGATATTGATAACTTGATACCCATTTTTGCCGCCGATACCAAAAACGTGCGGAAATTATCTTCTCCTGAGTGGAGAAACAAACACCTGATTGCTATTATCTGAGTGGCTGCGTAGCAAAAAGTTGATCAACTCGATGACCACAAGTTGAGAAAATAAAACATGTTCTAATCTCTCAACTAGTTGACATAGTTGATGCACTCAACTTTGACGTTTACACTACCGACTTTTAGTCGATTAGTTCAAAAGTTGATAAACTCGTCAACTTTTCAACAGATTGATGATATAGTGTAGTGTGGGGTAGTGTGTTACATCATACACTCAACATAACTAGTAAATAAATGTACCGCTACATTTTCCACATATTTAGTATTACCTGTCACGCAGGGGTCAAAATTAGCGGTATCCCGATATCCGCGGGATAGTAGATTCTTGTGTTGGATACCAGATTTCAATGCTTGGTATCCTGCCGGGATAGTAAAAAAAAATCGCCAAAATCGGGATAGTGGTTATTGAGCATATTTGCAAGCGTAAGCGTGTAAAGCCCGGCGCACATTGCCGAACATTTTGCTCAAAAACATCGTAGCAATGTTCCATGAAATGTTGGGAATGTGCGGTGGGAAAAGTCGCCGAACATTTGTTCCGAACAATGTTTCTGAAGGTCGGAAATGTTTGATATCTCGAACATTGTTCGTCGAATGTTCGTCAATGTGCGCTGAATGTCGAACAATTCTAGTAACATTTGTAAAGTAGTAACCAATAGCAGCACGATATGTGGTCACATGATTTTTGTGCCCAATCATGCGCCAATCACGTGACTCTTTACAACACAGCTACTAGACAGCGCCAGGAGGTTATTCGCTGCAAAATGTTCGGCAATGTGCGCTCAGCAATTGTTCACCCGCACATTGCCAGACAAAAACATTTGTTCGGACGAACATTTGTTCGGGAAAATGTTCGGCAATGTGCGCCAGGCTTAAGCGTAGCCGATGTTGATCATAAATGTGATGTGTATACATTGTATCAAGCGAACCAGACAATGCGTCTAAAGTTTAGACGCATTGTCTGGTTCGCTTGATCCAATGCATGCTATAAAGTGGTGTATAGGTAGGGATAAGTTAGTAAGCAAGTACAGAACGTGTTTGTAGTAAAAAATCTCAAGTTTTGTCTGTCAGATTTCAAATTAAAACAAAAAAATTTATAAATTAATAAAAATAAAAATAAAAATCGAATTTCGACCCCTGCTGTGGAAGTGGCATAGTTTTAATGGTGTTGTAAATTGTGTTAACCTACTATTTTTACACAATAACTTCACACCTATGCACAAATTGCAGAGTTCTTGGCAATTGTTTCTTGTTGTTGACAGTGTATATATCACACTGCCTGAAATCAGTTACATCACACCTGGGAATACGATCGTATTTGTCGTATTTATATCGTACGAAGGAATTGCATAAACATACAATAACTTTTAAAGTTTTTATATATTTATCTTACTATTTTCCCTTATAATTAAAGCCCTGCCACTTTCGCAGGAAACTGAGTTTGTGGGAGGTCAACAAGTTATGTAGTTTATTAGATAGGTTATGTGATTTTAATGTAAGACACTACCCAATCAACTTACAAAGTTACAGTAAATAATAAAACCACATAAGTGATCTAGAAGCAATTATTTACAAAACTTAGGCTAGTACTGTTAAAAGTGCTGGTGGTGCTATGTACTGCATGACTTATCCAGGTCCACCACCACTTATGAATACCATGTATGTATGAGAAGGATATATGTGTGTATATATATTATATATATATTTAAATAATTATATAGGTTAAAATGAAAAGTGAATATTTCTTTTTAGTTGCTTGACATATTAAATGTAACTACACATTATTTTATGTTGGTATTATACTCGAAGTAGTTTTTCGTACAATGATTTACAAGATAACTTGCAAGATAAAGAAGTGAGTGCATATGAATACATTTAACCCATGAATTTGTTTGTAACATCACTAAACACAATTAATTGTGCAGAATGTTAATCATAGCACTACGATGACACGATGAGGAATCATGACTTAGTCGGCTTACCTGCCGTTCAACTCTATGCCCATAACTTGTGACAGAGTTCCATTAACCAGGGTAGGCAGAGACAATTTTTAATTGATACTTAATGCATTTTATATACTAATTGGAATGTTATTGAATATATGATTATATGTGTGCAAGTACTTGTTTATCTAATAACAAACATTCTTTTAATTTTTGAATGCTTGATTTATAATAAGCTAATAATGTTTTATTGATATTTGCTCTCTAAAGGAAGGCTGATATTCAGAAAAGCAATATGTCTGGCGATAGTACGCTCGTCGACATGGAGACGGCTGCAGAGCTTCCGGTGGGAGACGTCGACGGACAAGTAGTAGAAAGTAGCGACAACAAGAATTCCACAGACGTGTGGGGGGCGGGTGACATGTACGAGACGCAACTGTCGAATAGTGAGCACCACGACAGCGTGGAAAGTAAGTCGGCAGACATTGCCACGGACCAGTACGACCCGGCGTTGCCCGGAGACGCAGTGGCACAGGAGCCGATGGACATGCAATTTATTTCCGCGCCGGTGGACGCGCAATTCGTTTCCGCGCCGGTGGACGCGCAATTCGTTTCCGCGCCGGTGGACGCGCAATTCGTTTCCGCGCCGGTGGATGCGCAATTCGCTCCCGCGCCCATGGACACGCAATTCGTTCCTGCGCCGATGGACGGGCAATTCGTTCCAGCGTCGATGGACGCACAAAGTGATTCGGCACCATCCGACGTTAACACGCTGGAAGCCTCCAACGAACAAGTGCAACCTGGCGTTTGTAGCCAGGTCAGCGAGGCGATGGTATGCAGTGATTCGGAGGGAGCCATCGCCGAGGAAACGCAGAAGGAAATCGCGGAGGCAGTGGAAGCGCCTTTGTCGCAGGACGCGGTGGAAGCGCCTTTGTCGCAGGACGCGGTGGAAGCGCCTTTGTCGCAGGACGCGGTGGAAGCGCCTTTGTCGCAGGACGCGGTGGAAGCGCCTTCGTCGCAGGACGCGGCGGGAGACGCCCATCCCTGTGAGGATCCCGCGCAAGACGCGCCGCCGTCGGATCGTGATAGTAAACCCGGCGAAGCCCCGCCCGACGCCCTCCCAGACTCCACTGAGCAGCAGCAGGTGACGATGGAGGAGGCGGCGGGGGGGGAGGACACGCCGGTGGGGGAGGGCACGCCCGGTGAAGCGCAGCCCCTGCCGGACGTCGCCGAGCCTGAGCCGCCGGAGGAGGAGAAGCCACCGGAGGATAAGCCTCCGCTGACGAGGGAGGAGCTGCTAGAGGAGAGGAAGAAGAGGAAGGTGGAGCGGCAAATGCGGCTCGCCGAGCAGAAGGGCATCACGGAACTCGACAAGTTTTGGAAGGCGGTGGTTGAGAACCCGTCGGATTTCACAGGTTGGACATACCTGCTGCAGTATGTGGAACAACAGGTAACTATTAGTACATGCTGACATGACTTATATTGTTGGCTCCTTGGCACCTACGTACATGATACTGTCACTTAGCTTCCCAACTTGGCAGATCAGTGTTTTATGCCAACTTCCAGTTTAATTCTACAAACCCTGGGTGTTCCATTTTAATTTGAATGTTAATGGTTATAATATATAATTTTGATAGTCTGACATTCTGGTCGTATGTAGGCATCATTTCCCTTCATCAGAGTAACTCGCATCTGAACTGTAGTGTGTAAATGAGCCCAAGGTTATAGTACTTTTGAGTGTGGATCAACAGAGATTTCAGTCTGCTTGGTGCCAAAGACAAGGGTTTGATACAATACAGGTGTTTAATTAAGCACTTTTCTCTCGTGTTTTTTAAATAGCGCAATGAATAAATTACTTTGATAGAATTCTGGCATTGTTGCAATATTTCCCGTGCTCTTGCAGGCAAAATGGAGGCAATGTGGAAACCCACAATTTGAATTATATTTTTCATGTATTTGTCGCATGTAAAAACGAGTTATGTTTGAGATCGTGCCTATCATTTTTTAAGATGTTTTAGGCTTTGTTTCTTGTCAAATAATTTGATACTTGTAGGAGGTAAGAGAGCGAAATGTAGCGGCCGCTCCTATACTACTTTCCACCATGTTTTTAGAACGCACTGGAGGAGGCGCGTGAAGCATTTGACGATTTCCTCGACGTGTATCCGTTTTGCTTTGGCTATTGGAAAAAGTACGCCGACGTCGAGAAGAGACACCAGAACTTGGAAATGTCAGAGGAGGTATGTTGCAAGAGCGCGGTTTAGACGTTTACCTTCTGCATGCGGGGTCGGTTGGTTAGTTGACAGCGAGAACCGCTTCTTGGTCAGCGATGTAGCCTAATTCACAAAGTGCTGCATGGATCGGATTCACTTGCAAGTGATTACATATAAATACAGACACTTTGTCGGTAATGCTCCTGTTGCCCTAATTACCTAGGCTGTAAACATCGGAAAGCCATGGAATCGTAGATCAGTTGAGTCAGCTGCTCTGGTACTGGGTCATTAGAAAGATAATATCTGGAATAAATCGGTGGGGGGGGGGTGGAACGCATGTTACTATTGTTAGTAGACATGATCACTTCAAGATAAAAATTACCACGAGTTTGTGCTGCTATGGTATATAACCAGTGCTCGAAATAAGAAGAAAAAATGTGGTTATCCTGCGGACAACCCAGGCATCAAATCAGGTTGTCCGCAACAATTTCTGGTTGTCCCAAAAAATATCCCCAAATCTCCTATTTTCAAGCACATAATAATATGGTCAGAAAACACCCAAAAACAGTGGCGTAGCTAGGATTTTTTAACAAGGGGGGCCAAAAACAGCGAACTGCGCAAAATAGTGGATGACTTAATATTTTAATGGCTCCTCCGCCTCCCTCTCCACACCCTACGGATCCTCTACCTCTCAGCTCTGCAATCTTTGTTTTGGGTGCCATGCGAAAAGGCGACATATTTGTTCATTGTTCTCTCCTCCCAAGATCAAGATATGTACCGGTAATTGTTCAGTGGCGGGTCTAGGATTCCAAGGAGGGGGGGTGAAAAACAGGCGGGGGTATGGGGGTCCTCCCCCCAGAAAATCTTGAAAATGTA